TTTATAAACACACAGCCTCCAGCGTTACACAATATGTGAAAGGTCAAAGGAGTGCGTGCACACAACTGGGAGTCGGATAGAGAAATGCTTACACACACACTAAACAGTAAGTGTGCAGGAAGCAGAGGGGAAAGCACATACCTGACTCCTAAGACCTTGTGGGTTCGTTAAAAATTCAAACATGCCAAAGGAGCACTGTGGGAGACTCCTGCAGGTCAAGAGTGAGAGAGGGAGGAGGGAGAGATGTAGAGCGAGAGGAGGAACATGGAAGGAAAACACAAGAAAGATGTTTTTTCTTTCTTTCTTTACTCTACTTCCTCTGTCCCCCCAGAGAATGAGAGTAGCGTCTGTCACATTTAGCTTAAGGGAATCAGGGAAAATGAGTGAGTGCATTTTGTATTTCAAACCAAAAGTGGCCCGAGTGGAAAGGAAGACAGAGTAGGTTAAATATATGTGTGTGTCTGAGCGTGTGGGGCCATGTACTGACATGGTGGCTGGATGCTGCAGTAAGGTGACCCAGTTAGACACAACCCCCCCCCCCCCCTGAACACACTTACACTTATACACATGCCTCTGCACACACTCGCACCTCACCCGCTGGAGAGGGGAGGATGCTTTGGCCCCATTTCAAACAGTAATGTGCTTCAAGAGTTGTGGGCAATGAAGCGAGGGGGGGGGCTGTGTGTGTGTAAGCGTGACGGGGGTAAAGAGAGATAAAGAACAGTATGGAGGAAGATGTGGGATTGAGACGAGACACTAGAGGCAATATTTTTGGGGTCCGTTTCAAGATTTTAACCTGTCTTCTTTTGGACTGGTAGATATGTATGTGTGATTTTACATATGTTTTCTTTTTAAGTCTAGGTAACGCCTCATTTGTATATTTAGAAACATTTGTAACACATAGAAAGATATATTAATATAAGTTATTAACTGGGGAGGTTTCCTGGTGATTTCAATTGTTAAATGTTTACCCTGTGTCACCTGTAGTGTCGGCAAAATGTATGTAAATATACAATGTATAACTTTCAAAGCCGATATTCTGAGCCAGAAATATCCACTTCGGTAGTACTAACACCAAGCTTTTCAGTGTCATTCCTTAAAACAAACCTTTTTTTTGTCATAAAAAAAATTCTAAACGTAGATGTCTGTTTCAGGATAACATGCAAATAAGCACATTATTCAAACAAATATTGCCTGGTTGCATATTGGACCATTACATTTCAGAAAATGCTTTACGCAAAGAATACTTGTGTTAATGTAAATAATGAACCGAGGAAGTTTCATGGTGTTGTCTATTTATTTATTTGAAATGAACAGAGAATATGTGCTGTCTTGTTAAAGTGTGTGTCTGTGAGCATATTTCCCTCCCAACTAATCTAATTCAGACTCCGTGTACCGTCATGACATTCAGCAGAAAGGTCAACTCCTCGCTGGTATGCACGAGATAACAGGCCAGACACATCCATAGCCCTCCACAGACAAACAGAAAGATGATACAAGATAACTCCACAAAACATGAACAGGTGGCGAACCTGAATTCATTATGCAGACGTTTCATTCAGATGTGAATATCTGATTGGCATGCATTACTGGATATCAACGCACTGGGAATTAACTCATTCACAACTTTAGAGGGCTAAAAGTTAAAGTGGGAGTGGGAGATGTGTAACATCCCCATCTAGTGGAGAAAAACCATCACCACACTTATCTTCACTGTACGCTGGATAGAATATTATCTGATACAGTACAGGGCCGGTTTATCTCAAAATATTAAAGTGTGTCATAATTCAGTGCCTCTAAAATGCTGTAGAAGTATTTCAAAACAGCATTTAAATGTTATTCTATTATTCCCTTTGACAAACATTAGCCCCACATTAAAACTTAAGGATATGTATTGATTTTCATTATTGTACATTTACATATAACGCCATTCTTTTTTTTGGTACTAAATGACAGGGGATTTTTTTCAGTCTGGGATATGTCAATAATGAGAAAAAGTTTTGTCCTTAAGGGTCTGTAAACTTATAAGAGCCTAGCTAGACTTTTTACAAGAACATTTCTTTTGACAAAAGTTATATGCAAAAAAATGTAGCACTATTGATCCAAAACTGATTAAGGCACAGGGTGGGGCTGAACAAGATGTCAGTTAGTTAAGCTGGACTGGTTAGACTGGATTAAGTAAAAGGAGTGTCCAACTCCTGCACCGCTGAAACATGCTGATGAGATGCTTACTTACAGTAAGACATAAGAGGGGGGAAATTGGCTGCTGTACTTATTATGTAAATGTTTTCAACCAGCCAAAGTCCATAATAAGATGTATCAGTGGAGCATGATGTGTGCTGCTGCTGTGGGTCTTAGACAGCTGTGTTTGTTATTCAGACGTTAGAATTAGTATTCGTCATATATCAGTGTGAAGCAGTGGAGGGTGGAGTGTAAACAAAACATATGTTTATTATAACGCTGGTTCTGATTCATGGGACTGCAGAGTCATGCAGGGCCTGAACAAGACGATACATCATGTGAAAACAAGCCATGAATGCATTTAAATGTATTTAATCATAATCTTATAGTGTCTGTACAAATACTTTCTGAGGCCTGAACACATTTTAAGTATTTCAAAGACTTAAAACTGGAGCTATAGGACATGCAGAGGTTGTTAGGGTGGCATTATTTTTGCAAATAATTCAAATTAAAAGGTCAAATTTGAGCATCAAGCACTTTAATTTAGATATGGATGATCTTTTATGGACTAATTTTCCCTTTTTTTAAATGATGGAAATGTCTAGTTATATAAAGAGACCCAAAATGCAGGCGCCAGCTGAATATTCAAAATATATAAAGATATACCAGAATCATTTGCAGTAAGGCTCAAAGGCATTGTGTATTGCCGTGAGTCAACAAATGTGTGCGCATTAACTCTTACCCCCTCCTTTGTGTGTTTGTTTGTAATTGTTAAATGTGCATGTGGTCCCTATTTTCATTGCTGCTAAATTCGTTAATTTGAATCATTTTCAAACCCCTGGACTTTGCTCACGTGCTAATGTTAAAAACGTTCTGCATATTTGAATGTGTTCTTTGAGAAGTCTGGGAATAAAGAATAAAGGTGTAATTTAATAAAAGTCACAATATATCAAGAAAAATAAAAAACTATCCTAGACTGCTGTGCATTACATTATTTGTGTGCGGACATGTCTTTCAGGCACCTGAAGGTGCCATTTCAAACGGGTTAGTAACAAAGTTGTTAGGCCCCGACAGTGAACCAGGTATTGTTGGAGGGTGTGTACACACATTAATCAGCCAAGTCAACACATCAATATTGCCGTGTCTGAACATGAAGATAATCTCTGTTTGTTCTGGGTATGAAGCAGGCCACAGGAAGCAGATACACTCTTTACTTTGCTGTTTGACACACCTAAACCAAGGATAAGGGTTGATTATAAAATGACCACATTTTATGTCTACCCTACTTGGATTTGTTCATGATGTTCTCATCTAATATAACATGGGAAATAATGGAGCTTTTAACATAGATATAGAGTTTCTTTCATTTTCAAGATAAGTGTTTCCACTCATTGTACACTGTTTTAAATCGCTTCTTAAAACCCACCTGTCATTCAACACTTTGTAGATTGTGGCTTTTAAAATAGTCTAGTGTTTTAACTATATGCCCTAGGTTTACTGCTTCGGGGGGAGTGCTGCCTGAGCGGGGGGGGGGGGGGGGGCTTATTTATTAATAACAACATAAATTGTTGTTATTATTGTTTATTTATTTGTAATTGACCCTATGTAATGGTCTGTGGTTTTTGTATTTTATTTATTTCTCTGTACAGTGCTTTCTTGAGGTTTTAAAGTGCTTTACAAAGAAAGCTGTATTGTATATTGTATTGTACTGAAATGCTGCATATCACGAGTCCTTAAGCCTGTACATTTTCAAAACTACCTGCAGGCCTGTCTGTATTAGTTGGTACATTTGATTATAATATGATTGTTAGCAGAGGTGGGAAGTAACTAAGTACATTTACTCAAGTACTGTACTACAATTTTGAGATACTTGTACTTTACTTCAGCATTCCCATTTTATGCTACTTTGTACTTCTACTCAACTACAATTTAGAGGTGGTCATGTACTTTTACTCCACTACATTTATTTAATACCTTTAGTCACTTTACAGATTTTGATTAATGATGTGAAATATAATCAACTCTTAAATTAGACTTTAGTTACACCTGGAGTAAATTCACAAGCTACCCTGCAGTATATAAAGTTATTAAAACTAGCTGCACCTTTACCAGCTTTGATAAACACATTAATACATCAATAAATATAATGAAAACATACATATTATTTTGAAAGTACTTTTAATTTAGGTCATTTAAATGTATTTTCATGCTAATACTTTTGTACTTTAACTTAAAGTAATATTTTTGATCGCAAGACTTTTACTTGTAACAGACACTCTGGTACTTTTACTTAAGTACAAGATCTGAGTACTTCTTCCACCTCGGATTGTTAGCCTATATTACGGGTAGGCCAATATAAAGCCTGCTGTGTGATAGTGTATTTGGGTTATGCTGCCGCCTGTCATGCATCTGCTTTATGTGCATTCGGCAAGAAATGTTGGTGTTGTCATTCGGACGCAAGGTGTCGCTTTTGAGCAATACAAAAACATGTAAATGTATAAAAATCCTGTATTTAAAGTCCCATTAGCCACATTTTTTTATAAATGCTACAAATGTGATATGGAAGCTGAAACAAACATTAGTTCCATGTATTAGCTGTCACAGAGAAATGAACACATGTTTCTTAAACAGACCACTTATTTATATTTATCTACCATATTTAACAAATATTCAATGGCAAAAGAGCGTATGTGCATTACCTGCTGAGTATCTGCAGCAAAATAAAACCTGTAGCTAGTTTTCAAGAGAAAACTCAATCAATGAGGACTTCACAGGATATACAGCTGACCTAGGATCTGATTTCAACTCCTCTCTTTGCTTCCACTAGTGGAGCTGGCGGTCTCAATCTGATCCCAGGTCGGTGGTTTTCCCGCGCTTCCACTCGCGGACCACGTGTCTCTCTACGGCCTCCCAGCGGACCATGTGGAGCAGCAAGATGGCGGTGCGGTGGAGGGGGAATCTCGAGGATTTAAATGCCGGGAACAGCGACTTTCTGACCAGCAACAACCCCAATGAGGTACCGGTTTGCTCATTTTAACTAAGTGACACCCAAATAGCTGCACACACGCGGGTTTCCACGTGTTAGTAATGGGGTATTTTGCTGGCGAGCGAGGGCACATGGGCGCATAGCGACACGTGGCTGAATGAGGCTTGTAGTATTACCGAGGTATTAACCGGGGAGTTGGCTGAGCAGCTCCATTAATAAGATATTGTGTCGTTACAGAACTGCTCAATGACAAGTACGGCCATGTCGTTAACACAATCTCCGTGGTCATTGATTTACACTCGAAAGCTGCCGGTTAGTTTCCTCTGAAGTACGATATGTTCAGGCTGCACCCTCAGCACTGCGCCCAGCACTGTCCCCCCGCTATGTCGCTTTTTATACAATTCTCTAATTTTACCGTGCTTGTTTTGCGGTAAACTTCATATAACCTGATGTATTGTCATTAAAAAGCTTTTTGGACATGGTTTAAATGTCTGCTTACTACAGTACAGGCCCTGACAGAGCAGTTGTTTCAACTTCCCATAGCTGCTATACACTACAGATTAGTGACTCATTCATACGGATATGCTCTAGGGCCCCTCACTGTGCCTCCTGTCTATACTGACCAGTATGGGATCAATAATGAACATCCTTCTGTCTATCCTACTAGCACACCTTAATGATCAAAAAAAAATTGGTAGTAGTAGGCATTGCTCTTTGATACACTACGGTGACAAATACTTATGGATTATACACCGTATAATTAAGTATTCAATCATTAAATGTTCAAATATCATGTACTAATGTATATGCTACCCAATAACAACAAAATGACATTATCTTTTAACATATTAAACATACAATAAAGTATACATATTAAACACATTTTCTTTATAAAGCACGAGTTTTGTTGTTCTTTTGAATGTCATGTATTTGTATGTAGTGGTTAGTCTTTATCTGGTCTCTGAGTCTGTAAAAAATGAATTATTTGTGTTATTTATTAAAGTCTATGAATGATATTTGTCTGCAATTGTTTTCAGTGTATGTAGAGCTGCAATGATAACTATATTAAGGTATTAGTTAAGCTAACATCCCTGAAACTAACTAGTTTCCCTTTTTTTTTTTGTATTCAGTGATAGTGAATCAAATATATTTTAGTTTTGGACTGTTGGTTCGACAAAACCTGACATTAGAATACATGAACTTTGGCTTTCAGAAGTTGTGACCTGCATTTTTCACTATTTGTCGTTATTTAATTGAACAAATGAATTAACAAGACATATTTTAAAATAGCAGGAGGTAGGATTAGATGAGATCAGTGTGAATTAAAACTTAAAGCACAAGGGTGTGATATAATATATTTGTGTGTCTGTATTCCCTGCAGTTGCTCTTGAGTAGACGTGACATGGAAGCCGTAGAGATGGACGCTCAGTCCTGCGTGGATCACTCAATCCTGGCCATTTTTGAAGACTCCACTGTTGCATCAGAGGTCAGACATAACCTCACAGTACATCAGAAGTTTAAAAGATGGCACGTTTTTATGTTTGTTCAAGTTTTTTCTAATTACTCTCTTTCGGGAAACTAGTTGACACATGTGGAATTTTGGTAGAAAATGAATTTTGTGTATGAAAGAATAAAACTGAACACTTTGCATTTCCATTTCCAGGATAAGAGTGGAGCGGAGGAGGAGAGAGAGACCCTGCTGTCGGCCCTGAGCGAGATGTTGGACAGTGTGGAGGATGACGATGTAACTCTGTCTCCCTTCGACACCCTGCCAGACACCAAGCTCCTCACCCACCCAGAGCGCAGGGAGAACTCACTGGTGGGTGCATACACTCAGGAACAAGAAATACAAGGCTGTTTTTTGTTTTAAAGTACTTAACCAATACTTTTAACAGGATCAGATTCATGCAAATGCTTTGGTGATCTTTTAAATTGAATATCACTATTTTTTTTTAAACTTAATTTTTTTTTTTCGATTCAGTTTCATTATACACACGTTCACATTTTGGTCAACAGTTTTTCCATTTTCATTTGGCTGTATCTACATAGCCAACATAAGAAAAAAAGTACAAAAAGAGATCAATACAAATAGTAATAATAATAAAATAGACATATGAAAAGATAAATACATACAAATAATAATAATAATAACATAAAACAGCAAATGGGGGGGGGGTCATCTGTGTGTGCGTGTAGTTGTGTGTGTGCTAAGGTGCAGGTCAGAACCATTACACTTAGATCAGGAGGTGTAAGACCCTGAACTGGTTCGAAAGATGTGGGGAAATCAGAATGAACTTACTGGATCAGCACAGTTGTGGCGTGACTCCACCTTTTGCAAAATGTGTCTGTCTGGATCCTTAGAGCATAAGTTATTTGTTCCATCTGATAGATTTCCAAAATATCACTATTTTAATAGAAATTGTGTGTCACACACGATGGGTTCAAGGACTGTCAGAACCTTAAAATCCAAAGATGAATTCTGTTTTTACGTTTCTTGCTATGATGGTTTAGGCTTAGGTGATACATAATAGCTTAAATAAACAGAATGCTACATGGACGAACACAATAGGAAAGTAACTGCAAAATACGTTTTTTACGCAAAATGTGAGAAAATATAAACACTTCAAAGATCTAAATGTGTTTTTTTTTTCTTTCTATCTTTAGGATCTTTCACTATATGAAAGGCTGAGGCCAAGATCCAAATCACCAAATGTAACACTCTCGATAAAGATCGATGGAGACAAAGAAGCGGAAAGCAAATTGGAGAGAACCAACCCTTCACATCTGTTCAAAAAACAAAAATGTATCCACTCCCAAAATATAAAAGCAGAGAATGAAGTGGAGATCTTCACCTCTACTTCTCTGGTCAACCTGGTGAAGCTCATGCACCCCTACTGCCTGAAGCTGCATGTGGAGGAGGAGGAGGGGGATAAACTGAAGGAGCACACGTTGTTCTCTCAGGAAGAGGTGTGGAAGTACGAGAGACCCAGTGAGGACAGCGACGAAGAGATAAATGTTGTTTCTGACGACGAGGTGGAAGAAGTAAATAGGGAAGATGAAAAGAGAGATAATGACAGCGTCTTAAAGAGCGCGTTGCTGAATGTACAATCATCCAGAACTCCCCCATCCAGAGAGAAGAAAAGGGTGAGCTTTGGCCCCGTTCAGGTGGTTTCACTCGATGAATCGGCAGAAGAAGAATTAAACGAGTCAAATCTAATGAGTCAAAGTGTGTCGGTTCCACTGAACGGCACCAAAGCAATTGAAAACCCAGCGGGCTCCCCACTTGAACCCCAAACATCGTCCTCAGAAATTAACAGCAACACGGCCGAGGTTTCTCTACTTAAAGCTGAGACAAAGGCCAAATCGCTCAGCCTCCAAGAGTACAGACAGCTGCGCAAGAGGAGGCAGCCCCTAGTGGAGAAACAGGGGAACAACATCACCAAGTGGCCCTGCGTTTCTGAGCCCCCCACAGAGCTGACCCCCATCTGTTTACACGGACAAAACAGCTGCTGTCCAAAGGCAGCGCACCATAATCCAGACAGTAGGAGAACTTGTGCCGATCATAAATCTCAAACTCAGCCCAGGCCTCACCCCTCCACTCAAGCACGTCACAGCGGGTTAAAGCGACCAAGAACTGAATCCAAAATCCTCTCACCCACCAGTCTGCAGGCAAACGTCACAGTTAATCAGAATGTTTCAGAGAGCAAAAAAAGTCCAATAAAAAAGCCTCTCAATATTGATCCCCCGAACCCCGTCTTCCTCCATTTGCCAGCGAGCCAGACAACACCACCCACTACTGACCACTCCTCATCAGAGTCCAAAGTGGAGTTCTGCAGTAGAGACTCTGACAGCATCAAGCACTTTCCTCAAATTCAAACTGAATCCTCAGGCACATCAACCCAAAGACAGCCATCCACCTCCGGCACGAGTCCTGAGGTGTTGTTAGTGAACCAGGGCTACTCCACCCTGTTACAGGAAATTAAAAACAAGCTCACAGAGATAGCCTCAGGTGTCACCTCCAGACCTCAAGCACTGTGCCCAACCTCAACACAAACCAAATCTTCCTCAGAGCTCAAAACCCTGCAGCCTCAGAGAAGCAGTCCAAACCAGACGATAGGAGTCAAGCTGCAACCAAAGAATCCTCCGTCACCAGGTCCGGATACAGCGAGGGAGATGAAGCGTCCTTCCCTCACAGCACCGCCTAGTCCCCTAGATGCTCCCACACCAGTGAAGGAGACGTTATCAGAGGTTCCCCCCAGTGTATCCGCCTTAGAGAAACCAGCCGACTCAGGTAAACTGTCGAGACATTGGTGATTTTGTTGAGTTCACTTTGATGAAGGTCTAACTAAGAAATGAACATCTTCAAAAGTTTCATGTCTGTTTGTTATTCTTCTTCAGGAATCGAAGCGCCCGATCTCACCAGCCTACTGGAACAGTTTGAGGAAACACAAGGTGAGTAATCAGATTACTGTTAACTAGGGGTGACTGCGAACATTTTTATTGGAAAGGATCATTCCACTTGCATGCATGCAATTAGTCGCTTTTCAGCGCCTCCCGCTTTTTTAACGCTGATTTGGGTGACTTGTGTAATTCGTGGAGAACCGAAAAGTTTTCGTTTTGGGGGGTGGGGGGTGGGGGGGTCCGACTCACGGACTGACGGACAATTTCTTACTTCAAAAAATGTTTAAGAAATCTAGACCGCAAAATAATTAAACAAGCGAGTGCCTGTTTTTCCTGGCCAAAGACAGGTTCCTTGAACACAACACGAGCGTAACGTGTCATCACGTGGTGTAGCGCTGACGGAGAGCACCGGAACCCCGCTCCAGCACTTCAAATATTGCAGTACCCATAAGGAGCCGTACACATGCCGCAGTTTTTGCTTGGCTGTGTCTTTAGTCGTAAGCCCAGTGGCGATCTGTTGTTATTAGCATCTGGTTAGCTAGCTATGCTAACAAATTTAAAGAGCTTTTTCTACATCCAGGTGGAAGAGAGCTCTCTCCTGACAGACTGAGAGGCTCAAATAACCTCAGCTCAGTGAGGTTAAGGCACACCTTGATATGATCATTATAGTTATAAAAAAATAAGAGACTAAATGAAAAACAGGTATAAAATACTATATGACAGTAACAAAAAAGTTGTTAAAAATAACAAGAATACAGTTTAAAAGGGGAGCGATTTGTAAAATATCCATAAATAAAAATCTGCTTACAGTTCTGTTTCATATGGGTGTTGAAAGATGTATCCATAGATCTCTTAATTTTGCTCTCAAAGTGCACCAGATTGATGCTTTTAACTTCAATATTTAAAACAAAATCTTCCCGGGGGAGTAGCACCCGGACCCCCCTAGAGAAGGTTAGGTCCCCCCCCACTTAAATGATGTCCACATGGATAGGATACTAAATACATTTGCACACATCTTGTGTCCATATCTTTCTGTTTTGGTGGTCATGCCACAACCGTGTATGCATGCATGCGCGAGTCATGGTAAGATATCTGGATTAAGAGGTTGCTTTTTCTTTGCACAGCATGAAAGAAAGGTGAAATGAATGGGCTGTGATTTTAGTTTTTTTAAGCAGAGGTTGAGTTAAAAAAATTGAAATGGCCCTTGAGAGGAAAAAGGTTCCCCACCCCTGGTGTAAATAATAATAAAAAACCTTGATTTATAACTTAACATCTCTGTCTCCTATTGATCTGAGTATATTATAAAGAATAGCCAGTTAATTGAAGCATTATAGCACAGGCCTTTGTCAGATGGTATATTACGCAATTTTTTTTCTGCTTCGAATAGTTCTCTCTTTTTTCACCATACGTGTGTTTGCATCCCTGCACTTGGTCTATACAAGTGTCTGATTTTACATAATATTTCTTGGTTTCTCCCAGTCAGTCGTGATATCTAGTGTATTTTGGTATACATATCAGATAATTAGTAATACTGTTAATACACATTTGAATCCATCAATGCACTTAAATACCACCAAATACTCCAAGTAGACTATGTTGCAAATATTGAAATTTGAAACTTGGATGACAACCTCAGAAATGCTAAATATAAAACATAAGGCTATTGTCCAACGTTAAAAAACATGTTTCATATTTCAGTACGACAGTAAAACGTGATGTCAGATGCTAACTCGATTTTTTTTCTTTCTCACTCATCTAGCTCAAGGGTTGAGGGTTGGAGAGAAAGAGCTCAAACTTGCTACCTCATCTTCAAACGTACTGACAGATGGACACTTGGACAGAACTCAGCCTGCAGTGGAAGCACTTGTACCAAATCCAAAAACCCTCAGGGACTCCCCACACCTTCAAACGTCACCTGACATCCCAGAGCCCCTCGGCACTGAAATCATCCTCAGCACTCAACAACATCAGCCAGCAAGGCGCAAAATCCTCTGTCCAAGGCCATTCAGATTATCGACCCCCGTCCTCTGCCGTCCAAGAGGACACACACGAACCTCCCAGAGCTCCCTGCAGCTCGTCCCTCTCCTCCCATGTACTCGGCTGTGTTCATCGATCACGATTACTGCGGGTCAACGACAAGTGCCGCTCAGCACTGCAGAACATCTAAACCCAAGGATGAGCCGAAAATAACTGATGAATTACAGAGGACTACCAGTGACTCGATCGCTGCTGCTGCTGAATGCAAACAACAGACCTCCACCTGTGACGTTAACTCCCCCATCAGGGCTGTGGATGACTCCGCAAAGACGAGTCGGTCCACAGACAAAGTTGTTTCAAGAATCGCTGCCACCGAGCAAGATTGTAGTCTTGAGACACCCCCGTGCACTCTGCCCACACCTCCACCCAGCCCTCCTTCCAGAGGCAGGGAGAGGAGGAGATATCGAGGGAGATCCCCTTGTTCGGACTCCAGCTCTGCTTCCTCCTCCTCCTCATCGTCGTCGTCCTCCTCCAGCTCTGCATCTCCCTCTCCAAAAAGACAAAAGTAATTATTCTCTTATGTGTTCTGACTTATGTGTTATGAACACAGTCAGACTGTGTTCTTCCTCTTTGTGCATCTCTCCTAATATCTTCATTTGTCATTCTCGCAGGCGTCGTCACAAGCGTTCAGAGAGCAGTTCATGTTCGTCGTCATCCCGCTCCGTTTCCCGCTCCCCACCTCGGCGCTACAGGTTGTCGTACTCAAGGGTGTCGAAGTGTAGCAGGTCCAGATCCAGATCTTGGTCCCAGTCCAGATCACCATCACAGCGGGTTTACCGTAGGAAGCTTAGAGATGTTTACAGGTTAGTAAATGCTGACATTTGATAGAAGAAAAGTGGCTGTTTATTTTTCCAGTTGTCTTTAATGAGTATTCTCTATCCCCCTCTCACCCCTCCAGCAGCAGAGAGTCCAGGAAGCTCCGGAGAGAGCACGAGATCAGGATGCAGAAACTTAAAGCCATAGTGAGTACAAAATAACTAACATGTCAGCTTTATGTGTCTGTGATTGTATTTGTTTTTCAGTGGACAAATAAGTCATTCTTAAACTTCCTCTCCTACAGGATGAGCGCAGGGTGGTGTATGTCGGCCGCATCTGCAGGACTATGACACACGAGGAGCTGAGGGAACGCTTCTGTCAGTTCGGAGAAGTAGAGTGTGTGTCCCTTCACTTTAGAGATAGAGGGTGAGTGTGCACAACTGATAATATGTTCTATTGTGTTTTGTGTTTTTAACATTCATCAGTATTTAAACCCTGCACCTTTTGGTTCCCACAGTGACCACTACGCCTTCGTCACTTTCTACAACATGGACGATGCTTTCGCAGCCATCGATAACGGCGGGAAACTACGGAGACCCAATGAGCTGCCGTTTGACATCTGCTTTGGTGGAAGAAGACAGTTCTGTAACTCTCAGTACGCCGACCTAGGTGAGACTAAAGCCCACAGTCAAAGTCAGGTGCAGAGTGCACTGCTGTATTGAAGGCTTCTCCTCATTGAGCTTTATGTGCAGTGAAAGTGTCAGCGTACCAGGCTTTGTACGGTAGCTACTTCGTCATACCTCCCTGAAATTTTGCTTGTCACTACACTGAGGATCGCTGGTCCACCTTAATGACAGCCTACTAAAGTGAGCCTGAGTTGAAGGTTTCGCTAACTTTACTTTAATAATCAGATGGCAAGCAGACAAGGGAGCTTAGCTTTTTATTATTCTTTTATTTATACTTTGACGAATAAGCTGAATAAAAATGGCACTGCTATGTTCACAGCAATAACAATACTGCAAAGAGATACTGACCCATAGGGGAGTGTGCTGTGAACTACAATACATCACAGCAATACAGCACCTTTACTAAGCTATTGTAGCTATGTATTTATGATGGTGAAATACATTTCAGAACATCTATGTTTAGTGTAATTCTGCCCAAGACTAGATTGCTTCTTTTTTTTTTTAAAGCTGCCCCGTAGGAACTATAATGCAATATTCCTGCTACAATGTGAATTCATTACTTCAACCATGAGTCAAGTTTCCATCCAAATATCACACCCATTTCTTCTTGAATCTCAATCTCTACATGTATGGCAGCCATTCCATTCCACTGTCTGTTGAACTCCAACACAGAGAAATGTTATCAGTAATTTATAGAAAAAAATAAAACAATGTTTATTTTACTCAAACACACTCCTATAAATGGTACAACCAGACGAACTAATCATTTTGCAGTGGTCTCTTAGTAAAGCTGTATTTTACACACATTTTCTGAAAAACATAACAAATAAATATATGTTTTTTAATGTGCAAATCAGTGATCCTGTGAATGTTTTTATCTTCCTTAGACGAAAACAAAGATGCAGAGCCTTATCCTGTTAAGAACAGGTTCGAGGACCTCGACTTTGATTCGTTGCTAAAACAGGCCCAGAAAGGAATAAAGAGTTAACCGAGCCGTGTGGGTGGACGACACCAAGCTCGATGTGGCAAAGAACCCAAAGTTTCCTTGGACCTCAGAGACTTATGGCTCATACTTATGTAGCAAACCTTTGTATGTTAGTGTTTTCTTGGAGCCTTGGACTCTTAATACGCATGCTGTTTCTAATGTGTACAGTTAATATGTAAAAATATGTAGCACTGTTTAATTGATAGCATGTTAGTGGAACCCACTAAAGTTTTTCGTTAAATTCAATATTGCTGATAATGTTTTGTACATTACTATATGAAAAATAAAAGCTCTTTATGATTTCATTCATCTTCATGAATTGTCAACTTCAGTTTCTTTGGTTATTAGTAACATATTTCTCAGAAGACAAACTGCCAGAGTACAAACAAGTCTAAATGTCACTTCCATCCATCCATCCATCCATCCATCTTCTCCCGCTTATCCGTGGTCAGATCGCGGAGGTAGCAGTTCCAGCAGAGAGCCCCAAACGTCCCTTTCCCTGGCCACATCAACCAGCTCTGACTGGGGGATCCCAAGGCGCTCCCAGGCCAGCGAAGAGATATAATCCCTCCACCTGGTCCTAGGTCTACCCCTTGGTCTCTTCCCAGCTGGACGTGCCTAGAACACCGGGAGGCGCCCAGGTGGCATCCTTACTAGGTGCCCAAACCACCTCAACTGGCTCCTTTCGAAGGGGAAGGAGGAGCGGTTCAACTCCGAGTCCCTCCCGGATGACTGAACTTCTCACCTTATCCCTAAGGGAGACGCCCGCCACCCTGCGGAGAAAACTCATCTCGGCCGCTTGTATCCGCAATCTCGTTCTTTCGGTCATGACACAGCTCTCGCTTTGGGAGTAGAGATTGGATGGCCGAGTAGAGACCCCCTCACCCCATACTCCTGCAGCACCTCCCACAGTAACTCCCTGGGAACCCGGTCATACGCCTTATCCAAATCTACAAAACACATGTAATAAGGGATAAGCGTACTCCCAGGCCCCCTCCAGGATCCTTGCGAGAGTAAAAAGCTGATCCGTCGTTCCACGACCAGGACGGAATCCGCATTGTTCCTCCTCAATCTGAGGTTCGACAATCGGCCTGAGTAAACTTTCCCAGGGATGCTGAGTAGTGTGATGCCTCTATAATTGGCACACACCCTCTGATCCCCCCTTTTTGAAAAGGACCGGTCTGCCACTCCTTCGGTACTGTTTCCGACTTCCACACAACGTTGATGTCGGAAATATAAATGTCACTTCCTTGGAAGTATATTCAACATTTTATCAGTCATCTTTTTTATCAGGTCATGCTTTAACATGTCTGCTTTTTAAATAACCCTTTCTCGTGGCAGACGTAATGAATTATCCCAACAGCTGTAACTAATCACATAAACGTAACCTTAATTATACTTGTCCGCCAATTAATTTCCACTTCCAGGGCCTGTTGGTCCCCACTTGTTATTAACATGGCTATTTAGCACACCTAATTGAAACAGAACCATTGTTTATGTAATGAGTTACATCTATGCATTTACTGTAATCCATATTACTTGTGTTGTGTTCGAAAGCTGTTAACGTTCAATTTTTCACAGTCCAAAACACTCAGAAATAATTACTATCATCCAATTTTGTTTTAACTCACTTATTATGCATTCATAACCGTACAGTCCTGTTGTAATTATATTTTATGGCCCCAAAACACATTACTAACCCTAAACCTAACCCTAACTTGAAACAGGTCACGGGAGACCACACAACATAAGGGTTAACATTCCCTGAACTTTTTTAGTTTATAGAATTTTAAACACGTGCAAATTCAAGTTTGACATTTTTCTAATGAAAGAGTAGCCAACTTCAAACAATTGATGATTACTAGTAGAGTTATCTCTCAAAACACCATTAAATATAAAATGGAGATCCTTAAAGATGAGACTTAAGCCTAAATAGTAGTTTATTTAATATTCAATAAAATGAATGGCTGCTTCTACATAAATCACTGGATTATTTGCTGGTACATATTATGTTTTACAGCACTAGAGGATGGCAAGACGACCACTACATTTGCTCAGAATATTTAATTTAGCTACATGTATTTATTTATTTATCCTGCTCCCTTTGTTTCAGGTGAATGGTCGCTTTAAGCTACAGGGACACTGTCCCTTTAAGACGTTCACCCGGTAGTCACGTTCAGTCCCGCACGCGCCTGCTGTATCTAAGGTGAACTACAGTCATCACAAAACAAGAAGAGCTTATTTTTTATTATTTGCTCGCAGCATTTACAACTACAGACTTTAGACCATGTTGCAGACGATTTAAATCGACTGCTCTGCGCAGGCGTGAGAGAACGGTGCAATAAAAGCAAAAACTGGCACACAAACATATGCATGATAATAGCGCTGTCAGTGCTGGAGCTGCTGTCTGAGCATAGTGAGCTGGAAGTAGACACAACTCTCAACATTAAACTGAAAACATGTCTACACCGGGCAGTGGCGTGGGGCAGGGGCGAGCCAACACCGGGGGGAAGCGGTTCATCAGCGGGGTGGTGGAAGGTAAGCAGACTGGCACCAGGGGCCCACACAGGACCACCCCAATAACAATACATTACAGCATCATGAGGCTGTAACAGAATGAATTTCATATATATTTTATAAACGAGTATCAGTGTTATATTGATCACTTCTGGTAAGGTTTGGTGCTTAACTTGACCTTTGCTTTATGCAGGTTTTTATGGGCGGCCATGGACTATGGAGCAGAGAACAGAGCTGTTTAAAAGGTATGGGATATATGAGTACAACTGGAGCAAACTAAACTAAAGGTTGCAAAAAACAAAGCCTGTAATAAAAAGGGCTTCATATTGGACGTTGTCCCTTACTGATGGGTTTATTTGGGTACAGGGGACAACACTGGACAATCAATGTTAAGACACACATTTGTTGTCTCCTGATGCTACTTACAATCATCTCTTATCATGTAATAATTGATTTAATACTGGGATTGTTCATTACTGGTGTTTCATAGAGAACAGAAGTGGGGTTTGAACACGTACCTGTACGCCCCAAAGGATGACTACAAACACAGGATGTACTGGAGGGACCTGTACTCTGCAGAGGAGGCAGGTGAGTCTGTCTGTCTTAGATCTGGATTCTGCGACCAGCCAACAACCAAAAATCATGCAGGACTTTCAAACCATCTCAGGAGCAAGAAAAAAATGTACCTTTGCTAGTTTAGTAGAACGTTTAGGGAATTAGAAGAAAATTGTTCATTTGGGCCACCACTTTTTTTACATTTACTACCTGAGTATCCATGTTTTCCCTTGGTATATATTTTTACTCCCCCAAGCATTCATATCCCATGTAGGATATTTTTAAAGTTAGTATTTTTAAGAAGTTAAGTGTCTGTATAGAAAAAAGGTGCCAATACTATATTTATTACTGATTTATATACAGTAATTAGGTTTGGACTATTTTTCATTCAGACCTCTCAATTTAAAACTATACTCATATTTTATTTTTGCCATAGTGACCCACACATAGGTAGAATGCACAAATGTCCGCTAATCTTACCTGAAGAATAAAACGAGGTCTGAAACTACAAATATCCTTAACTGGCACTTGTAGTTAAACCATGTAGTTTATAATGGCATCAAGGTTATGTTTAGTGGTTAACATTTGTGACACGGTGTCATACCAAAGTCCTATTGTGAGTCATCATTATCTCCTTAAACACATTGTTGAATTGCTCAGTTCAGAGCCTCTCCTTTGTTAATTGGGTGCATCTTATCAAAAATGAAGTTTGACCCATTAAAACTATCATGTCTCTGAGGACTCAAAGAGCAGGTCATAACAGACACTGCCGGTGGCCATCACATAAATGCAGGATGCGCAGGCAGGAGTAATGTCGGACATGGTGTACACAAAACGGCAGATTTGAATTTCTGTTGGTATCATCACAGACTTGAGAATATAGGCACACGATTGGCCCACAAATCTCCCTGTGGGTTGAAAACGTTTGATTGGTTGGCATTGCTTAAGTCTTTATACAATCCTTCCATTTTTGTCATATTCCATTCTTTTCTCAGAACAACTCATCGCCCTGATATCAGCTGCTAAACAGCACGACGTGGAGTTCATCTATGCCATCTCTCCCGGCCTGGACATTACCTTCTCCAACCCCAAAGAGGCCGCCGCCCTGATGAGGAAACTGGATCAGGTGAGGACTTGTTATGCGCAGATGAAGGGTGCAGCAGGAGAGATCATTTAATCTCAGCTGTATGTGTCTTTATGGCTCTTTAAAGGGTTTGCGCTGGACACCATATTACTTTATATGAAATGTAGCAGTAGAATAGAAGATACAAAGCTAGGAGGTCAACGTGCAACTGATGGCACTTACACTCCTAATAGCTGGTTTATAACTAGTGGATAACTTCATTTTTCAAAATGGTGATGTAGGGGTTAGGAAAACCAAATGATTTAAAGATTTCTCCAAAGCCCAAGCTGTGCTCTCCCCCCCTCAGGTGAGGCAGTTTGGCTGCAGGTCCTTCTCTTTACTTTTCGATGACATCGAGACTGAGATGTGTGCGGCTGATAAGAAGGCCTTCAGCTCCTTCGCCTACGCTCAGGTGGCCATCACTAATGCGGTGTACCAGCACCTAGGAGACCCCGAGACCTTCCTCTTCTGTCCCACAGGTCAGGCCGTAAGCGTGTTGTTTCTGTACAAATATTCCAGATATTATCAAGCCCCTTTAAAGACAGCCTGGGGAGTTTCAAGCTATGGAAACAACATTTGATCCCTTCATTTCTACATGATAAACTCATAATCTGTCACTGTTTCTCGTCATTTACATTTGCTCTGTCCCTCCAGATTATTGTGCTGCGTTCTGCACCCCCAGCGTGCTCCAGTCCTCTTACCTGCACACTGTGGGGGAGAAGCTGCTGCCTGGGATAGACATACTGTGGACTGGTGAGGCTGTCCTATACCGCTACAGACGTAATCAAATGTACAGTTATACAACGTTTTTTTTTACTCTCTCTTTCTCGGTTATTTGTGTTATTAAGGTCCCAAAGTGGTATCCCACAAAATCTCCGTTGAGTCCATAGAAGAGGTGTCCTCCGTCTTGAGGAGGCCGCCAGTCATCTGGGACAATATCCACGCAAACGACTACGACCCCCAAAGGGTTTTCCTCGGACCCTTCAAAGTCAGTACCTTTAGATGCCTATAGTCTTATCCGTATCTGGAAATAATTATTAACGTTGTATGTTTCCTGTTAGGATCGTCCTACTGAGCTGATCGCCAAACTGAGAGGGGTCCTCACCAATCCCAATTGCGAGTTCTACCCAAACTTTGTGGCCATCCACACATTAGCTACGTGGTGCAAAGCAACTGCTGATGGAAGACAAAGGGATGTGGAAATGGGTGAGTTTTTTTTAGAAATACAAATATCTTTCCTTTTGAATGCATGCTTACATTTTGGCATATTTGCAGAAAATCTCAGCTAAGATTTGACTGTGCTTTTATATAACAGCAATGAAACTTTAAATAGTAAATGTGTGGAGGGAGTGGCAGTCTGTCCCTGACGTTTTCTTTATGCATAAAAAGATAAGATCTTCCAAATGTAACTTATATGGAGGCGCCAAAACAGGCTTCTGTTGCTTAAAATTAGGCTGTAATAAAATATCAATACACTTGCAAAAGCCTGGGAACTTATTACATATGATATATAGAAGTGAGAATTCTTCTTATTGTCTTACTGTCTCTGACCTCCATCCCCAGACGATGAGGAGCAGGACCCCTGCTACAGCCCCCAGAAAGCCCTGACGCTGGCCCTCACCGACTGGCTGCAGGAGTTCATGAGCACCGACCAGCCTGGAGGTACAGAGTCATGAAAGAACCCTATGTCTCCTATTATACTATTCTTAGGCATATATTATAGGTCTCAGTTATATAAAAAACATTTCTATGAAACGTTTGCTCAAAATACCAAACAGGTCACCCATTCTAGCCATCCCTCATACCCCTCTATTTCAGCCCTTAGAGAAGTGCTGATTCTGGGTCCGTAGCTTTAAAAAATAAAAATAAAGAGATGAGAGCCGAGACGAGAGCTCATGCAGGAGAGTTCTACCCAGATACTCAGCTAAATGCTGCCCTGATTAGTTTTTATAGATTTGGGTAAGGAGGAAAAGAGAGAGGGTTGTATTTTTGGACACTTTGTGAGTCACCGGGGACACATATTTATGTATAAAAGACATCAAAAAGTGCATTTTGGATGATAGGAGACCTTTAATGTTAAGGCCAGGGGTGGGGTGGGTGTCCCAGTAGAACAAAGCGTCTTATTTCCCCCTCCTCGTCCTTCCAGGCCCCTGTCGTCCTCCAGCTCGTCTGAAGAAGGAGGTTTCAGAGGAGGAGCCCATGCAGACAGATATGGGGGAGGGCTCCTATATCCCAGGACCTGGGGAGAACCCTCTGTACACGGCCGAGCCCCTCACCCTGGAGGACCTGAAGCTGCTGTCGGAGCTCTTCTACCTGCCGTACGAACACGGCCCCACCGCCCGCACCATGCTGCAGGAGCTGGACTGGCTCAAGAACCACAGCTTGGCCGCGGCGGCCGAGACGGACAAGGTAGTGATGATTTTATATTTACTACCAAAAGCAGATAATGACCTTGGTTTTCTGTGATTTCATGCGTTAACTGTGTTTTTTTAGACCGCGGAATGGCGCTCAAGAGCACAGCAGTTTGATGGCCTGTGCGAAGCGGTGGTGCAGATGTTCAACCGTCTGTCCAACGCCCCCAACCGCAGCATTCTGTACGACCTCTACAACTACATCTGTGACATCAAGAGTGGGGTGGGCCTGGCTCGAGCCTACGTGAAAACACTCGGTGAGAAAATGCTCATCAAATCACACAGGATAGGGCAGCTGTAGCCATGTCAAAGGATAATACCCCAATTTACTTTTTATACTAATTCAGCAATAATCATATTTTTGATTCTTTGTTCACTGCATATGCATGCAAGAAAAACACATTTCTTTAAGCATTCCAGGAAAGACGGGTGAGTAATTAATATAGAAATGGTCATTTTCTGGGTGAAGTATTCCTTGAAAGGAGAAAAAATACACAGTATTTGGGGAGCAACTTCAATGAAAAGTGAATTGGTTGAAGCAAAAAGAATTGCTGCAATTGGATTCTCGCTTATCTATAATCTAGCAAATGTTTATCCTTAAGATTTGACCTTCTTAAGCATCACTTGTGTTAATGTGTTCTCCAGGAGGGCAGGCTCGCCCCGCAGCCCAGCTGCTGAACACTGATCCTGAACCCTGGGGTTTTAGAGGAGGCCTCTCTGGAGAGTTCCAGGTAACTTTATCTAAAAACAGTATAAAGACACATTTCAAATGTTTTCTTATTTTAATATCACAATGAATTTGCCATTTTCCCAGTGTGCAGTAATAGACATCATTAATAAGACAAGTGTTGTGTTCTCACTTAATTATCCATCAGCGTAGGTCAAAATAAATATGAATGAACTAAATATGTGTTCTTTCAGAGAATGCTGCCCTGCCACGGAAACAGGGACCTGTTCAGACATCCTCTCATGACGTCAGTTTACAGCATACGGATGTTCTGCCCTGAGGACAAGGTGAGGATGCCAACATTGATGATATGATACAAGAGACAGCAGGTAATAATTGGTCCCCTATAGTATTGTTCACACCGATGTTCCCTAATGCAGGCTACTGCTACAATATATTATGTCAGGCAGCTTCTGTAGATGAGGTACGGTTTCATAGTCAAATAATACATCTATTGATCAGATAACTCATAAGAACATAGCACTATCAGAGCACTTACTATGTTGAATGATGTTAGGATGAGCAGAGGCTAGGGCTGGTTCAGAAACAAGAACTTGCAGGATGTATGTCACCTTACAGTATGTACATAGACTGTATATATATATTGCAGGTCTCCCTTGAAAAAGAGATCTATGATCTCAGGACCATCTGGTTAAATAAAGGTTTGAAATGATATATGTGTGTTAGCACAGGAACGTTGGTGGCTCTTAGTTACCATCATTAAGTGTCACTGCTACTGAATTAATAAATCCACAGATACTTCCAGTTGTGACTATGCTTCAGATTGTGCTTGTCTATATGGCTTGTTGTCATAAACCTTTTGTATGCATTTAATTCATGCATTCTAAATTCACGTAATTTGTTGTTCTCAGTAACCTGCATTTCAATTAAGTACAGTAGCATATTAGCCTGGCATTGCTGTATGTCGTTTTTCTGTATCTTAGTAAGATTTAATCGGTGTTATAAACATAATAACATCTTCAGTTGTGTTAGATAGTTGTCAAATATTAGCCTTCCCTATCTTAAACATTACCTGCCGGCTGCCGCCGATATGTGATCTCTTTGTTAAAGATCAGCAGTTGATGTTACAGTTTAGTTTTCTGCACTAGATGGAGGTACAAAGAATTTTCAGAGAGATGCAGAGTGCGGGAGAGGGCAAAGTCCCCATGATGATGCAGCCCCCCCTCATCTGTGATGGGTGAGAAAGAGTCACATCCTCTCTCTGTAAGTATTCATGCTTTCATACTTAACATTAACATTGCCTGTGTCCCACTGCAGCCTCTCAGCGGGGGAGATCCCCCCCTCCCCTCAGTGTGCTCTGGTCCTGGAGGATGAGATGGGGGTCTGTGGTTACGCCCTCGCACTCACCGACGCCAAACCAGCTGCTGCCAGGATTCAGGTGATCAAATGCAACCAGTTGTTTTTTTCCAGAATAACAACTTAAAGGTCACCTATTGTGAAAAATCCACTTTTTCATGTCTTTTATACATAAACATGTGTCCCCTCTGTGTAAAGAGATTCTGAAAGTTTTTAGGAAAAAACATTCTCTCTCTTTTTGTCCTGATCCATTTATATAAAAACCTGTCTGACAATGAGCTGATCAGATTTTGGCCACTTTATGTCATAACTTTTTTTTTGGCTTGTGTAACCATTAGCCAATCACCAACCAAGGTAACACCCGCCCACCTTATCACCTGAATCTCCTCCTTGAGCACTATTGTGTTCTTTTTAACCAAATATCTCTCAGAGGAGCGTGGGGAGTGGCTCCTTATTTTTCATCTAAAATAGCAGACCCAGAATCAGCACTTTTGAAACAGGGCTGAAACAGAGGGGATTATGGGATGCTACAATGCATGATCTGTTTGGTATTTCGAGCCTAACACTTCAGAGACATGTTTGTATATATCTGAGACCTATAATATATTGATGAAAAACAGTATAATAGGGGACCTTTAAAGATGCAATGAATGACATGTATTTTGTTTTATCTTGTACCTCTAGAGGGCAGTAAGTGATTCAGTGTTCCAGGACTTCCCCTCCCTGGTCACCATACAAGTGTTGCCCCGGGTCGCTGATCCCTCTCCAGCCAAGCGCATGATTGGTCGGTTGTTGTCCTCCATCAGGAGCAGTGGTAGGTCAAGGCCTCGCACAATGCCTCTGATAGTACTCACGGAACTGGCCTACAACCAATTCACACGGTTTAAAGAGACAGTGCACCACAGAATAATCATGTTGGAGGTATCGACCGTAGTTCTAATATAATGGAAATGGGTTACCTTTAGGTTGTGCAGTTCAAAGACCCCTCCAAAAAACAATAATACAACAATGTCTCTTTCCAGATATCATGACCAGGTTAGTGGTTACAGCACTTACATGTAGGAATCTTTCTACCAAATTACACACGCCATAAAAGTGTCAGCTCAATGAAATGTAATGTAATCTCAGCCTCTCGTCCATTAGAAGATGCACACTGAGCAGAAGAGAGAATACTTCCTACTTGAAACTTCTCACAACTGCATCTTATTTTGAATCCTGTTTCTGGAAAGAGAAATTGCTGTTGTCACTTTAAGCACCAGAAGCCAAGTGCCATCTAGTATCATTGTATTGGAGAATATGATGGATATATGATATCCCGGTAACTCACACCTGAACACACTTGATTCATAAATAGCACTTCAGCTAAGAGGAAATATATTCATTTAGATATTATGGTAAGGTTTCCCTTAAATACACAATTTTCTGCACAAGGAAGAGTTGTTATGTCATTGTCACACCAGCTACCTGCCAACATGATATTTGATGTTAGATGTTTCCAGGTGAAGAAATCAATCATTCCTGGAATTGAAATGTATTTCTTGCTGAGATGTAGAGCTCTGCATCCCCTGACACTGCACACATTTGTTCAAACATGGAGCGATTGTATCTGTAAAACACAATCCTAATGCTAATTCTAGAATATTAAATACATCTGAAACACCATCTTGGTATTGCTTTCAGGTTCCAGAGGCGTGTTCTGTGAGGTGAGGCACAGCGATCGGAGGATGCTCGACTTGTATCCTAAACTGGGCTTCTTCAAACCCATAACCATGGCCGGGTTTCCTCAGGACATCATCGCCATGGGAACAAGCCTGTGAACAAGCCTGTGAACAAGCCTGTGAACAAGCTTTTGCGAAAATCATCGCAAGGATTTACCTCAGGTTTGAATGTTTTTTGCTAACTTTGCAGCATGTCAAACTGTAATCCGTCATAATTTCTTAGTAGTATTAGATAATTATTTGTGTAATTTTAGTAGCCATCTCCAACACTGTAACATTAGTTTGTTAGGACATTTGCAAAAAAAACTACTGCATAAAATTAAAAAGGGTAACACTGATGTACTACTGATTTTCTAGAAAATGTTAAATGTATAGATACTTTTTTAAGATGAATTAATTGTTTTAACCCAGCACAATAAATGTTAACACATTTATCCAATCTGAAGTTTCTTATTTGTTGTCGGACTCATTTAAACAAGATGAATACATAACACACATTGAAACAAGAGAATATATTTTAAATATTTGTATTTTGAGAGGATACAAAATGATTACAGGAAATGTTACGGTTTAAATGTAATAGCTGGTGCTTCACATATTGGCCTGAGAAGCTTATAATATTCAGTTTATTTAAAATAAGTGAGAAATGTGAGGTTGAAAAACATCACATGTAGCTTATGAATCAGAAGTTGATATGCATCAAGTAAATAAACCCATTACATTAATATAAATTCTATATGAGAGATTTCAGTGTGTCTGATCAGGTAAGATAAAGCACAGAGCATTGAGTGAGTTTGATATTTCAAGTAGTTAAAGGATATTTATTTCCATCCTTTAAAAATATGTTATCCTGAGTGTCTGACAGCTCCTTATTTATATAGTTTGTTTGACCCAGACTCATCTGGAATATAAGTAGTGTCTGATTTTAAAACCATTAAATATCTTTAACTTAATTAGTCAACTCCATTGTCTCTCCTGGTGATGAAATTCTCCTTATCTGTTGCCCTCTCTTGCTGCTCTTATACAATATCATCATGAAATATATAGCTTTGTGTCATTATTGCACAGTAGAACTGAGGGGAATGTAATTCAAAGACTTAAAACAAGAGTGTTGCACACATTCAGTCCACTTCTTAATCTCCTAGACCTTGCACACCTTCAGCTCTGCCCCTCTTAAATGAACTCCAGCCCTTCAAACTTCACATTCCCTATCTGTGTCTCGGCCATCAGCACCTGGCCGTCTAACGTAAAGGCAGTGATGTAGGTGGCGATGCTGCCTGCGTACTCCTCTGACTTCAGGGCCAGAATGATCTGATCGTCTGTGCCTGGGACAAATTTAAACGAGGAGAAACCGCGGATGAGGTTGAGCGGTCCGACGTGCCGCACCGTGAAGGAGCCGAAGTCTGCGGGGCAGGACAGGAGGAGGTTGGCGGCACGCTGCTCGTCCGCTGCCTCTTCGTAGTGTTCGTGACTGGCACGCCGAGGGAGGAAGAACCAGCGCTGCAGACGCTCGCTCCACGCTGCTGACTCATGGATAAGGTAGCCTATAGGACAAGGAGAGGTAATAAAGTGAAGAAGAGTATGAGGAGTTATGGAGACCACATGTAACACTCATGGGTGTTATTTTTACTCCTCAAAATATATTTTTTCCCAACTATCCCACTCACAAAATGTCCTCTAACTGTCCAGCAGCCAAAATACAGATGAGAGAAGCTTTAAGTTTCAAAACATCTACATTTTCCCTCTGTATCTCTCGACCAGACAGTGTATTAGGTCTGTTGTAGATATTTAAAAAACAAACAATATGGAGATAGGAAAGGGGGTGTAATATTCAGAGAAAAAAAACCTAGTATTTAGAAGATTAAAAAAAAAAAAAACTTGGATATTTTCTTAGGTTGAGTTGTAAATTCTCAACTTTTTCTTCATTAAAGAAGTTGCAAAAAACGTTATCCTCCGATGAAATGAAAGATGATTTTATATACAGCATTGTTCTTCCTGTTTTTTTTTTTTATAAGGAACCCCCAACATCTGAAACTCAAACTGCACCATCAGTACCCCTGATAAGATCCAATACCAACAGTGATAGTGTATGTGACAGGACTATAAAGAAAAGTCCTGACCTGGTGGTTGTATCCCTGTGGCGCTCCGCAGGGCATTGTAGTGGGGCACCCAGTTCTCATGCTGCACGTCACCATGGTAACCGACAACCTTCACCCACTCTGGGTGGTTGTTGACGACTTCCCCAGTGGTGGTGGTCCACTCTTTGCCCAGGCCGCCAACATACAGGTGCTCATCCTTCACTGCCAGCCACTCTGCTTTGAATCCTGCACACAAAGCAAGGAGTGATTCGTTAACCTCTTGAACACCAAAACAATATAAGAAAGGCTTCAATGCACTACTTTTTTTGGTTTAGTTCTAGACTTTTTTTTTGTGGAAAAGAGGTTGTGAAGTTGAAGTAAATCAGAATCAGATATATAGAAATACATGGATAGTGGTATATGGACATATTTTCAGACTGACCTTTGGAGACGGAGCCGTCCCCGTCGGGTAATATGACCCAGGGGACCGCCTGGTTGCCCTCGATCCTGTACACCACGCCGGTACGGTCGTCCACGCTGTACAGGTGACCGTTGAACGCCACCAGCTCAGACAGCTCCATACCTGCAACACGGGGACAAAGACACATTGAGGTAACTAACATTCTACTGTGAGAATAGTGTGTTTGTTAATGTCCCTGTACCTCGTCCTTTCTCAGCCAGATGACTCTCCAGCGTGACCGTGTCAGCGTCCCACTCCACCTCCAGTCTGTCGGCACTGTTTGAAATAGTGAGGTATCCTCTCTTCATGTAGCTGAACCACGTCTGGTCCTTAGAGCTGCGTGACGCTCTGTCCAGATCTGCGATCACGGCGATACGGTAGCGGATGCCGTGCTCCGTCTTCACCGGCCGACTTAACGGGTACGTGTCGTTGTAAGGTCTTAACCCTCTCTGGTGGCGGGAGGGGTTTCGTGCAGCCTGTCTGTTTATGTCCCTGAGGAGGCCCCCTTCACCCTCGCTGTGCATCTGCAAACTGTGAACCCCGTTGCGATAGTCACCTCTCGTAGCGGCGTTTCTGCCCCCTACTGTCCGGTTCAGGTATAGCATGAGCACTAAAGCTAGCAGGGTCGCAACTGTGATCGCCCGCCATTTAGGGTGGAAGCGCGAGTCTGAGGCGGTAGCTTGTGTCATGGACGCCAAGGCCAGAGGGAGGCCCCGGACCGAGAGGCCGAAGGAGCTCATCGAAGTATCGCTTCCATCCTCAGGCTCGGACGGGGGGGGGGCGATCGCTACAGCCTGGGACTGAGGGAGAGAGGCACATTAGAGGCAAGATGGGGGATGTGGTATTTTACAAAATATAACAAAAAAACAGACAACTGTAAAAAAGATAAAAATCTTAATACATCTATATTTTTTTTTGCTTAAAATTCAATATACATATTTCCAAATGTCTTTAGGTATTCAAAACACCTTGTTAAGTTATTGTTCATTACATGAACATTACAAACCCTATTTGCAGCTTCTTTGTCAAATGTTATCAAAGATCTGTAGGATGTTGGATTAAATAACACCGAAACAATGGCTGGGGAAGATGAAAGAATGAATGTGGGGAGGATGACGAATTGGGAAAATAGGCGGCTAGTTCTTTTGTTCTTTGTTCAAAACAGAGCTTTGTTGTACTCAAGCAGAACTTCTAATCAGCATACTGAGTAGGCTAAAGGCCCGTCCTCGCTCTGTTTTGATGATAAGGTCAAATGATGTTTATATGTACACTGAAACTGTAAATCGCTTGTGTGGTGTGGGGAAAACTAGTTTGCTTGGCACCACTTCACATATAACACTTGATGTGGCCTCCACCTCAATGATTGGTTAAACTCCTTATCCCCGTGATCCGGTCCAGTGATTTTGCCAGTGTTGGACCAATACCGGATCAGCACATTAAAAAACAGTCAACTCTAATAGATGTAATACTTTTTCATGTTTTTACTTGGACATAAGGGTTCAAGAGTTTTTGAAGCACAGGTGGGTCATCTCACACAAATAAAGACCACCTCCACAAAAGGTAATTGAAAATAAGACACAAATCTTTAGGGAGGCAAAATGTCACACGTTAATGAGTGAGAATGTTGTTGAGGCCCTCATCTACCCATTACATTGATCAAATCATGAGATTAATAATGTCCTCTGTGGATTAAGGGAATTGACTAAAGAGCATTAGCTAAAATGCAATGTCAACAAGTAAAAAACAAGCCAATACTTCATCTGTTCGTGGAAGAAATATTTGAAAAGATACAAATATGCACCTGATGAGTTGTAGTATCAGTCGGACACCTCTCAGGCCTAATGTGTTCTGGTAATAGTAAACGTAAAGTTGTAAGGAACTCATCTTAAGGTCAAAGATAGGAAAATAGGATACTGTGATTTCACCAAACGACCAAATCTAAAACTGTGAAGTCAACGTTCTGAAGACTGTGTAGGGTTAGAATGAGACGCCAAGAGACACCCTGCACGCTGAAATATGAGAGGTGCACTTGTTTTGTGAGAACTAGAGTGCCAAGATGAACCTTGACCTTTCCGTTGTCAAAGGTTACCAGCATGTACAGTCAATAAGCTTCAGTACAGTCATAAGTCATAGCTCTATCAACCCTTTCATGCTAACTGAATGTGGTTAAAAAATAATCATTGCGAAGTAATAACTGACCAAATGTTATAATTATTGTAATTTTACTAGATGTTTTTCCTTGCACATTCAGTACCGAAAAGCCTTATTGCTTGCAGTTCAGAAAGCCATTTCCTTAAACATTTTTTACCACTTTCCTAGCAATTACAAATGATTGCTTGAGATTTAAAATGTACAATTGAAGCATAATTAGTTACCGTGGCAATGCAGCTACAAAATGAATGGAATTGTTTGCGTTGGAGGATGATGTAAATTACACAATTATGGTAAACTTGTGGCAATAACTCAGAGAGACTGAAGTAAGAGCAATTAAATGGATAAGTTATCACCATTAAGCAACCCAAAATAAATGTCACAACAGCGTCAGCGGTAATGTTGGTCTCAGTGAGAGATCAATATTAGGCAGCTGAAGAAAACTCCAAAACATGGGAGAAAAACACAAACCGGTTTGAGGAAATATTTCAACCACATCCCATTCAGCTGGTAACCATTACATATGCACTCTGCCTCTTCAGCGACTCTCTCAACAAGTTCATATTACACAACTAACATGCTTACATGCAGACATGTCAAACTTGGCCAACAAATAATGCCCTTATTGTCACTATTGTACGCATTGCCCCTATTCCCCGTCTCTCTACAGCACAGACCCAAACACTGCCTCGCTGTATGATGAATGAAATTATTCACCCTTCCTTTGCCTCTTGTCTCCTGAACACGCTGTAACCATCATGCTGTTCTCCTTCGCACGCATTCCATTATAAACTTTAGGTCTACTTCAACCCTCCGTCTGACCCACATGAATAACTGATCCCTATTTTCAGACTCTCCTCCTTTTCTCTCCATTACCCTATCTCAAGTTTCCACCCCTTCTTGTTGACTCCAAAAATGAAAAGGGGAGGCTTAAATAAAGATAAGGTGTACTGTGTGATTGTTAGAATAACAATGGGATTACAGTAATTGATTATTCGGTGGGGGAACACAGTGAATCTTGAACAAAGGGTTTTGAAACCACTTTTAAAAGCCAAGGTTGCACTTCCAAAGAGGACTGAAGAGATTTAAATGGTGGACGGATGTTTAGACAGAAAATATAAGTCTAAATCCCCTGATGGTTTAATACGTCCAAGTCTCCATTATGTTTCATGCCCACTGTGTCATTTAAGGTCACAATAAGGGCAGCACTCTTTTCCAGAGGTGTGTTTGTGTGTGTTTGACTTTTTTAAATCTTGACTGTTTCCTGAGTTGTGCTCGTCACCCTAACACCAATTTTCAGAGGATGTCAATTGCATAAATTGTATAATTTCGTATTCATATTATCAATGAATCCAGTTTATTAAGCAGCCAAAGGTTACAACTTAAGAGTGTCCCTATTTAATATTTACAGTTGTATCCCTACAAAAGAAAAACATAACTTTCACCTAGAAGCTTTTTTGGAGCATTCAACCACTTCTCATGGTCTCAGTGTCACCCTATGACATTTGTTTTCTTTCTAACTGATATTCATCAGAGGTTTGACAGGGATGTCTCAGTGGCTTTTGAGGGCATTGTAATACATATATCAGATTAAGTGGATAATTAAACAGGGACAACCACCATAGTGCAAATGTTTGTATGTCTTCTGTTGGTTTTGTCACTTTGTCAGACCTTTAGTGACACTACAGATCCAACACCTATTAAGCTCAATACACACATTTGTTTTTACCAATAACAAATAGTAACTCATGTTTAACATGGTAAAAGAAGATGTAGACAGAAAAGTAGTAAATAACCTCAGCATCGACCGCCCACATAACAACGGTTTCAAGACATTGTGTACAGTACTGTTATGTTGAGAAATAAAGATAACAAACATTAGTCCTTGTAGTACCGACAAGATAGCGTTAAAGCTGCAGCAACATTCCTCTTTTGATAAGTAAATTAATGTATCTTTGCCTGCCAGCCACCAAGACAGACGGACCCGACGAGCCGGTGTTGTGCACTCCCGGTAACACTAATAAACTTTGACCGGCTTTCAAAAAAGTGAAAATGTTCAAAAGTCAACCTTAAAACGCTGACTTCAGTCCCAGAAAAATGTTTAACCATGACCTTCATCAGAAATACTGAAATGTCGATTAATATAAAGAGAGCTACGCATTTGTTTATGCAAGAGTTGGAACTACACCGGTCAGTTTAAACATGTTAGCCGTGAAGCTAACACCAGCTAGCAACTCAGACTGCTAGCATACTCTTATGTCATGCTAACGTTAGAACTGCTAACACTCTTATTCACTGGACTTAGGACGCTTAACGGAGGTAAGAGTCATCAGGTCATCATTTTGTGACTTTAAAAACCTTAAGGCTTACCTGATGCAGAGGGTATCCAAGCTCGACCGACTGGCCATATTTGATGGGCTGTTGTTAGCGATCTCCGGGCGATTAGCTCCTCCTGCCTGGAGAGTGGAGACCAATTGATGTCGTCAACACTCAACTCCCCAAACTGCCCCCAAAACCTCAACTACTGAACAGCAAATTATGTTGAACCAATCCAAATAATTAACACTGATATATGATGTATTATTGACTACAAATTCACAAAATAACAGAAATAGTTAAGAGGAAAATCATTTTTAGATAGGGACAATCCCTCCACCCATGGCCACTAAACATTTAGGGGTGAAAAAGCTCCTGAAAACCCTGGGCCTTGACCGTCCATTAATAATCTATACAACCTTAATCTAATACACCTTTGATGATATAGATGAGGTGGACTCAATATTAAGAACACAAGCATCTCTATGAAACAACCAAACTACAACCTAAAGTAAAACTAAACAGAATAACGTGTATTAAGGTATTATTTGGGCTGTTTTATTAAGACTTTATTCGCTTTAGCTACATGAAGTTGACTTATAAAGTTACCTTGGTTTTTTGTTTAGATTGTGGGAATTTTATAAACTTGATTTGGGATAAGCCAGTTATAAAAAAAAGAAAGGTTTCCAGACAGGTTGACAATAGTAATGATGCAGGGCCTACCTTATATCAGTGGTAAACATTTCCCTAATACACTTTTATCCAAAGACATTACCATCTTATTTTGGAGCATTATGTAATATGCCACTATAATCAAATTAAAGCAAATCTCTTCTACTAGTATGCATACAAAAACAAATAACATCATTACAGAGATTTTCAAATATATATATTTATTGAGATGATTCTCTCTATAATCTACAGTAATGATTAACACATTTTGTAAACAATTACCAAAGATACTAGAACAAGCGCAGTAACAATATGCATCAGGGATATTTTGTCTCATTTGATCTTTAAAAATATGTGCATTTAAATATCAGTTATCTTCTACAGTATATCAGGCTCAAATAAACAGTGCAAATATATAGTGTTCATTAAATTTCCCTGGGGGAGATATGTGTATACAAAACAAAAGCTTTATTCTTTTTTGTATGATACTGTACATCAGCACTCCCGAAATGAGTATTGTTGTCCTACCCATGGTCTTTAAGTGGCGGTTCAGATTGTAGAACGAAAATCACAAAAGAGACAGACCCAGCCTTTTACAAAACACTGGAAATATGCCAAAACTAATCATGAGCTCTAAAACTCTCAGTGTGCCGGTGGAACAGTACTTCCTGATGATAACATTGTGCACTATGGTCGGTTAATAGTCTGTTTGAATATGAGCAGGTTTAAAAGTAGTAGAATTTGCTACAATCACCATCCTTATAGTGACTCGGGTTCTGACAGTAATAGCTACAGTGAACATAGAGGTAATGATAGAATTAACTAGTCAAACCAATCCATGCAAGATTGTACATTTACTGTTGTACAAACCTGAAATAATGCATATATTATCATTATCATTTCACAATGACCCTGTTCTGAGGTGCATGTGGATACAGAGGAATGTGGATATTAGATGATGGATCAAAGACTGCCACCTCAGCTCTTCCCCATCGTCTCCAAGAGAAGCTACGGAGGAAAATAGAAATTAATCAAAACACAACTGCTCCTACCAAAAGTTTTGTGTGGGAAACTACTTCAAATGGGTTTGATGTTTCATAAAAACGTAAGTATACTACAATGGCTTTTGCTGTTGTCAGTACAGAAAGAAATTATGAAAAATAGCATTAACATTCATCATGTTTTGTTTTTTTAGTCTTTGTACCTTTGTCAGGTGATACTCCCCATCTACAAGTTGCTCGATGATAGTAAAGTGGTCTGTGTTGGCCACATCTTCCAAGGTCACATCAAGTCCTGACGCCTCCAAAGTCTTTAAAGCAAGGAGACAGAGGTAAGAAAATAATACATATTCACAGAATGCTTACAAATCACTCACATACTGAACAAACTATTAGCACTTGGTGAATAGCAACAGGGTAATTAAAGGGTAATTGTACGGTGAGGATGTCATTAATTTAAAATGATCCCAGACACAACACGCTTATTATAAATATTTTGACACAAAATATTGATTTAAAAATGATAGAATCTGTTTAATCTATCTATTTAAAAAGATGTGGTTCCTAATTAATTGTTTAATGTTCAAATATAAAATGTAACATTTTGTCTTGTTACAGTTTCCTAAATTAAAAAGGTAAAGGATTTGTTACCTGTCTCGGTTTTTATTTTATTTTTAATTGTATACTTTAACAGTGTGGACAAAACAAGTAATCAAAGTTCACCTTGGGTTCAACATTTTGTGAAGGACATTTGTCACTATTTGTTGATATTTTATAAACAAAGCCATTCATCTGTAAAAATATCAGATTATTGATGATAAAAATAATAATTATCTGCAACCTTTAAAATCAACCCCAATGAGTTGTTGACCAGTAGCGCTTGTTTGCTATGTTTTTAATAGTAAGGTATTGTTTGGACTTTAAACAGGGATGCACACGCTACACAATCCTGCCTGTTTCACTGTATTGCTCACAAGACAGCTCCACCTTAAATAAATACTACCTTTAACATCTAACAGTAATAGTGTTCATCAGCAGCACTGACTTTGTAGTATTCTTCTGACTGCTTGCGAAACTCCGGCGAGTCATTCTCAGCGACGGCTACGATGATGTGGCAGCTGGAGGACGAGAGCTTGAGCTGAGGGACCAGCTGACTGGGGCTGTTCCTCACCGCCACCTCCCTGCCAACAGGAGACACCCGGGGGACAGAGGAGTCAAATACTGACTGGTACAACAGACCAGCACAGGATTATTACACAGACACACCCTTTCAGATCTCTTCCACAAAGAAAATAACACATTACATTAACTCAAACTACATTGATTCCTCATCTGGATCATGATCTCATTTTTAGTCTGGAAGCTCTTCTCTTTGCAGTTCACTATTGGTCCAGTAGTTATGTGAATTAAAGGAGCTCAAAATGTAGTATCATGTAAAGATTATACATGTCATAGCTGATTTTGTTGGAAAAAATAAAATATGTATAGAATATTTATAAATTAAGACTGATGTTAATAGAATAATTTATCACAATTTGCATAGCTCTTCCAGGAGCCACAAAAGGATTTATGCAACTCAATGATCGGTGGAGTTTGGAGAGGTAAATGACCCAAAGAAAATGTATAGCTTCCACATGATATTCCAAATTAAGATGGATTGGGATGAACCGATCCAAAGTTGTTCTGTATTATCTGACTTGCAAATGTCCATAATAAGACATTGTAACAAAAACGACTGAATCCCGCCAATGTCCCTGTACTCATATAGCATACACCAGCTTAAGATCTGGTCTCTTTCAGCAGAACTCTAATTATGTAAACAATATAATGCTCACTGCACAGGTAGGTTGTAAAAAGTGTGTAGCAATCAGATCTCTACAGTGCATGTAATTGCACTTAAAAGGAACATGCACTGCAGTAAGGAACGTACTCTGTCATCTTCAGAGGCTCGTTGACGTAGGTGGACAGGATGGGCAGCAGGTCGTATATTCCACTGACAAGGAAAGCACCTACAAGACAATTAGAGAAAATACAACAAAGATAAAAAGTACATGAGCTGGATTGCTCTTAATTGTTCTGAGTGTCTGCTTCTTTTAAAGTATTTAGTGTTTGTCAGTTGAACGCATTTCACCTGTCTGACCTTACCTTTAATCTGAGGAGTGATGCTGTACTCAGACCAGTCAGTGGAGAGGACCATGGCAGCCAGGTGAGCCCCGGCAGAGTGACCACACAGGTACAGGCCGCTGATGGACAGATTAAAAGAAGTTTAACCGAGACAGTGGATTTGTGGCTTTTTGTAGAGCAGGGTCAGAGTTCGGCGAAACATGGAAGGAGCATGGGATCATTGGAGTTGTTGTAACTGCTATTGCGATCATTGTTCCACATATTTTACTAGCTGGGAGCCAGACAAAACACCAAGATCTCCTCCTCTCAAAAACAAACCAACCGGTGATTAAAAGCAGTAAAACACAGAGAAAACAGCTTCCTGTTAAAATCTGTGTTTTTCAGAAGCAGTTCAGCAGACACAAAGCTTCCCAGTTAGCTGTGGCTAATGTTTGCTCAGCTTGTGTCTCCGATACCTTAAGATCAAGATGCCTAATGACTAAAACCCTTCATCTGGTTAAGATATACATTTAAAAATAAAAACAATTGTGGCTTAAAACTGGATAAAGAGTACACTTATGACAGCTTCAATCCTGACGCATGCACAAAAGAAATAGAACACGATTGGAGGAAACCAAATTAAACGTACTGTTACTGTGATTGAAATTGTATATTTCTTTAACATTTTTGGAAACATTTTGAATCGCACAGGTATAGAGATAAATACAAATATATAAAGGAGATCCAGTCCTTTGTAATTGAAAAAGTTACATATTATACTTTTAAGATGAATGTTTTCAGTAATAAGTATCACCGATAACAAGCAGAGGTACCTGATGTGAGAATACTGCTGGACAACAGACACAACACTGCGGCGCACTTGAGACACCATCAGGTCCATGTTGCCTGAAACAGACACAAGCAAAAGGACATCATTCCCATTTCATATACATAAAAAATGTTTTATTTTCCACAACCTAGAGAGACAACCTTGTCAGAATTGAAAATCTGTACCTTTCGGGGCGATGTCATAGCCGACGGCAACCACCACTACACCTTTACCAACGAGTGGAACAGCCATGAATCCTGAATCCTCCTTGCTGCATAAGAAAAAAGGATCAATGTCAAAATCATGAACAAGAAATTGAAATCAAACTGAGATGCAAGAGAGAGTATAATGCAGTACCTGAGAAACTGCCAGAAGCCTCCATGCAGGTAAATAACAAGGGGGACATCTGAAACAGAGAGAATCAGGTCAGTTAAACCCCTACATATTAAATATGTGTCTGTATATGTCATATGTTACACATGTATGTACCCAAAGAGTTGGTGCTGGGTATGTAGACATCTAGTTTTTCTCCATCTCCCTCCCCATACGGCACGTTGAGC